AAAGGAAAAGTCAGTCTGTGCCATCTAGAGTTTAAAGTCGGCATGAAATTAAATTCGACAAATCTTTTTATATGCAATACTGAAGTGTTTATTATACGATTTATCTGTGCACTTCATTATTTTTTCAAAAATGCATGTACCCTCCCTTATATTCTTTAATCAAAGACATTACCCTTCCCTCCCCCATCGAAACGACCTCTCTTCTATTTCAGTCACGTGGAATGGCGAAAGGGTGCGGTCAGATCCGATGAGGGTCCGCCTCTCAGAGACTCGCATTCAAGTTTGCCTCCATTTTATTTGCAACGCCCAACCTCCAACGATCCTATGAATTCCTGAAGGACGAAATCAAGCCCTGCCCTACATTTTTTTCTAATTTCAGAAAAGGTTTCACTCAGATTCGTACGTCAAGACAAGGAAAAAATGACAATCTCAACTTTTGTTTCACGCCGACTTTAATGACTGAACTATATAATGCAAAGACATTCATCTAATTGAATTGTCCAAATACTGTTGGAGCAATATTTTTTGTAGTACATTTGAAGTACATTTTTGTTAATAGTTAAAAACTGCAATAAAAATATCCATTTCGATCCATGCAGGAATCGACAGACATGATCATGTCAGGGTTTAAAAATACTCCTAATTATGCCTAGATGATGTTTCAGTTTATCAGTTTAAAAGCATAATTGCATCATGGATGATTGACACATGATCATGTAAATTGATGTGTCTGCTGCTGGAAAAGATTAGGTCTCATGGGAATATATCTCAAGAAGAAGAAAACTGGCCGGTTCTTGATCTTTAGCCAATGGTTGTACATCCTCCAGGGAGCATGAGGTTGGAGAAACGATGCAACCCAGCCAGAAATTTTCTTTCCAGAACACATCTCACAGCTAATTAAAAGTTAAGAGATGATATAGACTGTCCAGTTCACCCAGCCTTCACCCACACAAAAGTACAAGTATGGTTAAATAATACCAACAACCTGATAATTAATATGAAACCAGTCGTCTGTGTTATCCATAAGCCAGCAGATAAGGTTTAGTAATAAAATATGAGATCTCTTTAGCATCTCAGCTGTTTTATTGATATTATACTCCAAAATAAAAGTTCTGTCATCATTTGCTCACCCTCATATTGTTACTAAAACACATGACTTTCTTCCACGGAACAAGGAGATTATGTGCAGTCATTTACTAACTAAACAACGTCACAATACTAGATCTCAAAGCCTTTAATAATTCTAATGTATATCATATGCCCTAGTTCTTATTAAGCATACACATTTTAATGTTTCAAAAGCCAGGGCTCATGGGCATTCCCTCCTGACACGATGCTCATGACTTACATATGAGGTTCATTGTACTTAGTGTTAATAGCTTTATTAATGTTTTATTTAATGAGCTTAACTAAAACAAATTGGCCCAACAGTATAGGCTATTACAGAACTTGGCCAACTGGATCAAAAAGAGACTTAAAGCAGCAGTATTTTGTAAAAATACATTTGTATGTTCAGTGAAACTTAAACTGAGAACTCCAGTTTTCTGAGCTGTGAAAGAGCAATCTGTCCTTGAGCAATAGTTTCCTCAGGTTTAAAAACACCAAAACATTTTATTTACTGACCCCAAACTGTTTACGATTCGGCAGTCCAACGGCCGATCTACCTTTTAATCATTTAGCTAAATATGAATCAAATCTTGACTTTTTTTAGTTTGAATATGAATATTTCAAATATACATTTCATTACATAAAACATTAAACCTAATGCAGTGAATAAAACAAAAACATTGGAATTGGAAGTGGTTTGCGTTTATATCTATATAGGTCGGTTTCATGTTGTCCCCCGATGTTTATTCATGTTAGGCTACTGTTAATGTTAATTAGTAAATGCTTAAATAGCTAAGAATGATTGCTGCAGAAAAATTGTAAGTTCATGTTAACTGTTAATGAAACCTCTTTGTAAAGTGCTACCAAAACATCACAACACTGTATGTGATTGAATCATTTCTTTGCACGTCAGGAAGTGTGTGACGGCTCTTGGTCTCGTGTGAGAACGATTCAACCCCCCAACAGAAAGTCTGTCATTCTGAATATCACAGACCGCGCGATGACATTATTTTACGCATTTCTCATCTTCAAACCGCAAACCGATGCAGGCGATCTGCCAAAGCCCCGGACAAGTTGTTACATTATGCAATCTTTATGCGGTGGATCCTTTGAGACACACACACAGCTGATCATTGAGATATCCAAAATAATAGCCAATCCACACGGCGAAGTGACTCTAAATGAAGACTAGTGGCTTTCTGGCCGGACGTGGAGGTAATTAAGCAAATGGAATGGAAAATCAGATTCACAATCACAAGAGACTCCCGTGGCTTCTGGCCAGAGCGAGCGGAGGAAGTGCTGGCTGTGTCATCTCGCCACTACCGGAGCCCATAAATTGGACGCATACAAAAATATGTTGGTCAGGGCAGGGTTTGATCTTGATGGTGTGGCCGTGAGGCAGGGAAAATGAAGAGTTGATCCCCCGCGAGGCGGCGGTAACGAAGACTAAAAAATGTTCCTTTAAGGGCCGCCAGAGCAGTTCGATCACCCCTTAGAAAGCATCCGAGCATGACAGGAGCTTTTCCATCATCTCTGTAATCAAGCACTAGCGATTAAATCACTTTCACATCTCACCCTCCCAGAGACTGTGCGCGTGTGGGTGGATACCCGTGTGTCCGTGACCGTGTGAGTTACAGTGCGGGTAACGTCGAGCCGCAGTGACAAGATTTGCTCGAAGTTCCTTTCGTCTAAAGGCCTATCTGAACATCATGCTTTATTTATTTTTTCCCATCTGTGCACAACGAGAGAGCAATTACACACATTTAACACGTTTAAAGAGGCCTTGACAAACTTGTTGCGTTTCCTGCATGTTTAATACTTGTAAAGCAATGAAACCAATTGACATTCCCATGGAGTTCACAGAGAGGCACTTGGTGTGCATGACAATAACTTTTATAGCTCACGGAGGGTTTGCTTCAGTTCTGTGCTTTGATATTTCAAATTCATTTCACATAACACATTGTAATTATACGGGGTGCATTAAGAAGCTTAGCAGATCAAATATGGAAATTTCTAAATACAAGTTCATGATTTTTTTTATGAGATAATATCATTCTACGCTGATTTTAAACTATTCATGCTTAAAGTCAATAGATATACTTAATTCATGTTCCTGGCCTTAACAAAAACATGTCTTTAGGCTGTAAATTTTCATCACAAACTTGCTGCGCATATGAAACACTTTCCTTTAACTATCTGCAACAGGGTTCTGGAAGCAAAAAAAAATCTTTTTTCTTCATAGGGGAATCGATTGACTTTGACTAATTGATGGCAAATGTTTTTGTTAAAGCCATCTGCTCATCAGAATTTCCATCGATGGCTCTTGGCCTTCCCATAATTCTGCAAAAATGTCCACTATTCAGAGAATCGCAACAAGCATTTCATGAAAAGCTCTGCCCCACTCCTATGAAGCACTGTGAACTAGGCTAGCCTACTGAAATATTTATGCACATGCATTTTTTACAATAAACAAAATATATTATTTTTATATAGGCTATACAATCAACATATTTAAATCAATTGCGTTATATTTCTCAATCCTTTATTTGCATATCATTCGCAATGCTTTTTTGGGGATTGTAATTATTTTCTTCATTGAAGCGTTTGTGGGTAAGTTGTAGCATGCACAGTATGTTTTGGATGGTTTTCAAATGTTTTTGCTTCAAATACAAGTTTGTAATGCGATTCACCACATAACTGCATGGTTTGGTCAACTCTTTGACCAAGACTTTTTAAAATTACCCATAGGAAAAATACTTTTGGAGCAAACACCTCCCAAAAAAAAAAAAAAAAAAAAAAACAAAAAAAAAAACAGGGAGACTGCTCCACTTCTCACAATAAAATCAAGTCCCATCCTATTTTCACAGTGAACATATTAACATAAGTAAAATGTGAGATGTTAACGCCTCTAAATTATTGTTTTTGAGATGCATTCTAAGCAAAGTTCATTTAGTCCACAAAATTAGATGCAAATATTTTCTTACAAAAAAGACATCAAGATTAGGCTATAATTAAAAGATTTTTACTTAAAAACTGTTGACAGATATACATATGACAAGATAAAAACTACACTGCAAGATATCGATATGTTTCATTTATAAAAGGAATAACAATCATTAAAACAAATATTGATTAAATGCTTTATTGTGCAGTATATGAAGAGTTCAGATGCAAAAGCCTCTAAATGCCATTTGAAATTTTCTTCTTTAATGATGATTTTTATCAAACTTGTGTATTTAAGTTCAGTGATTTCACTTAAATGGCAATGAAGATTACCTATTAATTGTTATTTAAGTGAAATTACTGAACTTAAATACACAAGTTTGATAAAAATCATCATTAAAGAAGAAAATTTCAAATGGCATTTAGAGGCTTTTGCATCTGAACTCTTCATATGTTACCACATACAAGATGAAAGTTTCTGAAGAATTAAACACGTATATTATATAAAGTGTGACCAAACTAACAATTAACAGTCCCTATGCAGTATCACCTAAAAGGTTGATAATTCTGTATACTAAATTATTATTTCATAAGCTTTGATTCAAGCTTAGAATTTATATTTCATGTAATTACGTGGTAAGGTTTTCACTTACACTGTAGGTCCTACAGGCTGTATGAAATATTGTAGGTGAGTACACAGAGTGAGATTGTTAAGATTGTTAATATTGATATTGTACAATGACACTGTTTCTAGGATATTATATGGAATGCTAATACATTATTAATATATATGAACACATTTTAAAAATGTTTGATTACAGTTCAGTTCGTTATAGTTTGACAATTTCATTGCCTCTACTATTGTCAATATCTAAAATGATGTGGCATTTTGCATTTATGCACAACGAGAGCCATTAAACTCATTTAACGTTTTCAAAGAGGCCTTGACATGAGTGTCCGGCTTGCTTTATTCTCATGATAACAATTGAAAGTCTCATGGGGTTGAAAGAGAGAGGCACTCAAAGTGCTTGACAAAAATACATTTATAGCTCACAATATGTTTGCTTCACTTCTGTGCTTTGATGTTTCATATTTCCTCTACATAACACATTATGCCACGTAATTTCATGATGAAGCACTGAAAGTTACCGTAGTTTATATCTTGGAAATTCAAATCTGGAAATATGATTAAGTACAAGATACAATGAGTGATTATACTGTAATTATTTTACTGATACTTAAATTAAACAACTGACCATTTTTACATTATTCACATTACAGTTCCCCCCCTCCCCCCCCACACACACACATAAAAAGTCAGCATATAATTTCAGCACAAACTTACCGTGTATCTGCAACTTTTGGCTGACAATTCTAAGCCGTCTTATTTAGCTCTATTCTGGTATGCAACACGCTTTTCAATTATATTGTATTTTCATGGAGCAATCAATTTCCAATAAATATACAATCAAGTCCCGCCCTTGTTTTCCCACTGAAAATCATGTTTCACTCTGAAATATTTACCGTTATGGAGATAAAATTCATCATGTTGACTAGAATGTATTTTAAGGCACAACTACTAATAAAATACATGTCAAGAAACAAATCCCTTTAGATCCATTTCAATCCTAGTTCTGGTTTGGCCAACAGGTAGGCGGTCACCAGTGCAGCTGCTGTCATTCCCACACCGAGGAGGCAGTAAGACTTGGACGACTTGCACTTTGACTCATTTCTTGGTTTACTGTGTTTCAGGGAAGCTCGCACTGAGTCCAGTTCCTCCCGGGACAGGGAAGAAGGACACATCTGAGCTAGGACCTCCATAGCCGCCCGCTGACCAGACTGAATTGCCCCGCTAATGTATCCACACCATTGGGTGGCCGTCTCTGTGCCTGCCCAATGAATCCTGACAAAGAGAAAGAAAATTGATAGACATTTTAAAGTTTTAATACTTTCTGTATTCTTTAAAGTCGGCATGAAATGAGTCAAAGCATCCCTATACTGTATATAAAGCCCATTCAGTATAATCTGCAGCTTTATCGTGTTGCTCTGGAGCTAATGACCCTCATCCATCTCCAGCTCCTCCTCGGCCTGTCAGGACTTAACATTCTGATATTCCCCTTCTAATCAGACTCCTTTTTTTCTCGAGTTAAGTCAAACATTAAATTATTGAACATTATTTATATCTGTAATACATTTATGTTGGTTCTCTTTACCCTGAGGGGGGTTTCACTGTTCTCCCTGCTCTCACCCATGCTAGGCACCCATTAGGCATTTAAAAAATGCATTTTTATCCATAGCGACTTACAAAAAAGGAACAAAAGCAATTTACTAAAAAAGTTCATATCTATAAATCTGACAGTCCTAGTAGGCTAACTCCACTGGATGGTTAATTTATGCACATAAAACAACTCAGTCAAACTCCAGCAGATAATGCATACATTCATATCTGTTGTGAATTTAACAGAAATAATTTTTAATTGGGTTCACAAAAATGCTTATTGCTGCATTCAACAACATATTCCCCATGCAAGACCATTTCCCATCCACCACACTGTTTATTCTTTATGCATTATGGATGTGTGGACTTGAATTAAACCCTCAGGGATATCTCTTACCCACAGTGTTTTCACCTATGCTCTTTGTCTATGCGAATCACTTCGAAGACATGAAAGCGGTTTGTTTTCTATTCCACCATCTATGGCAGCAGGCAAGAGATGCTCTTCTAACTCTGGAAATACTGCATCAAAAGCACCCAGCATAATATCTGAAAGTCTAGTTCTGCGGTTTTCAAACTTTTCTGGCCAAGTATCACCTTCAATCAAAGTCAGAACATCCAAGTACCACCTCGTCAGAACTTTGCCCCCCCCCCCTCCCCTCTCTCTCTCAGAAAGCAGCATTTATTTTAATGATGTTACACCAGTCTGTTCTTTGTTTTCACTTGAAGTATATCACGACCTTTATAATCTTCCAAAATCTTGTCGTACATGTAGTTACTTGTATTACTTATTGCATTGTGTTCAATTTGGTGAGATTTGGAGTCGCCAGCAGGGGGCACGCGGGAGTTGCACAGCGCATGAGTGGCTGACTGGCTAGCAGCGTAGAAGTAGTCCAGCACGAGATGAAGCGCGAAAGTGCAGAGAAATGTGCTCCTTGTTTGAACTTTGCATTTTCTTGTGTTTTATACAGGTAAGCTGACAATAACATTTAATACATAACAGTATTTTATTATTATAGAGCTGTAGTTCGTGCCTGAGAAAAGTGAAGTTTCAACCGTGATTAAGAGTGTTATGTCGTGAAATGGCGGACGAGAGTGTTAACGACTCAACAGGAAAATAATAACTCTTAACGTGAGCAAAACGGATAAATAAAGGCTTAAAAAGATATATGCTCGACGTGAGTGCAGGACGAGGCATAATTAACCAAATAGATGTGTATGGACATTGATTAAGATGTAGAGACGAGTCTGGGCAGTTGAAGTTAACAAGGCACACCTGACTGCTGTTAGCCCTCGCATGTTACATGTTACCCTCGTTTAGCATTGCTTTGTCAGCTATTACATGTAAAAGAAAATGAAGTTAATACTGTTAAATAAGAATCACAGTCAGATTTAGAGGTAAACTAATTTATTAATTATTTTGTGAGTTCATAGTGATAATAAAGTAAGTTAACTGTTAAATGGTTACAACCTAATTCATAATGTAGTCAGTTCATTAGCATATGTCATTGGACGACTAAAAACAGATTAAAGACAAGTGAAACAGTGATATGAGAGAGTATTAGAAATGCTAGAGTAATGTTAAAGTCTAAACTATTGCTGATACCTGAACATCTATTCTAATTCCAAATGCTATTCACATGCTTGCTTGTTTGAGTTTGTCAGACCTTTTCCTTTTGTCATTTGATAGTGGGCACAACACATGTTTAGATCTATGTTAATGTGTTTGTGTATAGAACATGTATATCTTGAGAATTGAGGATTGTATAAAGAGTAATGTGTCTAGTGTGACGTATCAGCCTAGACATCAGACATGTGATTGGTTAGGATTATTTGTGAAGGTATCACAGGATAAGAGCGTAGAAGTAATCCAGCACGAGATGAAGCGCGAAAGTGCAGTGAAATGTGCTCCTTGTGTGATCAATGCATTTTCTTATGTTTTCTACAGATAAATAAATGTGTTGCACCCGGAAGTGACCCCCTCATTCCTTGTGCTATGCTAAAACTCAGGCTGTCTCAAGACATCTTAAATGGTATATTTGAGAATTGTTTGCAAGTGGACCAGTTATTAATTCATGTTTTAGTCCTTTAATTACATCTAATATGGATCACTTTTATAGCAGGAAATAATGGATGGCAACTGAATGCATGAAAGAGTCTTCTAGCATCTGAGAGATCAGGAGCTTCAAGATCTCGTCGGTTTCTAAGTGGGTCAAGGACAGATTACAGCCTTCTTTCAGAAAACGTCTCATCGCCTGCACAGGTACCAGAAAGAATGGAAAGACTGTACATGCCTCAACCACCTTTACATGATGAACTCGTTCCTCTCCCTATGGATTTAATTCTATTATGGAAATTTCCCCTATATTCCAGGCACAGCACGCTTTCTCTCTCTCTTGCACGCTCTTTCTGTACGTTCTCCTTGGGCGAGCATTAGTTCAGCCCTGTCAATCGCTTAAGCGGCCAATTTCAAATAGCTTTTGAGATGTTTTCCCCTGAGAGCGCTGTCCTTTTGACATCAAGTCATGCATTCGGGTAGCATTTGCACTTCAAGGTAAAATGGGCATTTATGTGCTACTCTCACTTCACTTGTATCTTTATCTGCAGCTAATGTCTGCTAAAGTCAATGATATCTCCAATTAAATAGTTGAATAGTTAAATAGTACACTAACAGTCCCTATTTACTATTCTTGTTGTCTTTCCCAACCTGTATGCTGTTTTTTTTTTTTTTTTTTGCAAAACATTTTTAATAACAATAATTTTTAATAAGGATTTTTATAATTATTTTTCTTCTCCCCATAAACACATCGTGCAGCCCAAACCGTAAGTTCTGGAGACTTGAAACTTTGCCATAGGGTAGTATAAAAATCGAGGAGAGGTTGAGAGAACATGACCCCAATTGACCTATGGCTAAGCCACGCCCTCAAACTTGATGAGCCAATCACAGTGCGCAGCTAACCCAATACACTCAGACATTCTCTGCTTCCACGTCCATTGAAATGCATTGCAGTTAGTCAGTTTTCATTTGTTTTTTCTTGTAATTTTAAGTTTAAATGCTTTCTGCATAAAACAATGTCTTTTGATGCTTTTGTTCTTAAAGGCTTTAACTGCTTGAACACCACTAAAAGCTGCTTGCAGCTTTAATTATTATTATTATGTGGTCATGGCACTAGAAAGTGGACTAAGACCTGATCACAAGTAAAATTAACTAATATAAGTTTAAGTTTATTGATAAAGTGAGCACATAATGACAGAATTTTAATTTTTGTGTGAACCATTCCTTGTAGGACAGAGGAAGTGGTGAAATGAGGGACTGGGGCTTTGAAATAGGCTTTGTTGAACATGAAAGGATTTGGCCAGTGTAGTGGATTGGCTTACCTGCCGAAGGGCTTTCGAAGACTGGGGTGGTAATACGTTAACATCCCGGGGGTCATTACATTCACAGGACAGCCTCCACTATATTCCTCCTTTGCCCAGTCCTGCAAAAAACAAGACAACAATTAACATTTTGCAGCAGCCAGCGTCAATGTAAAATCTAATTTCGGACTAATAAATGATCTGAGAAACATTTACACTCTGTGGTTTGATGTAGCCTGTCCTTTATTTCTTAGAAGAGACAGATTTATTATGCAGGTGACTTTTGTATTGACACTAACAAAACATTTAGACGTCTGGAAGAAAACATTTGGCAGAAAGTCATCTTGTTTCTCTTCTCACTGAGCAGGTTACTTTTATATTAATGCAGCTTCACATTATCATAAACTCCCTACAACCCCCTATTTCTCACTTTTAATAAGGTCACCTTAATGAATTCTGTGTGGATTAGACTAACTGTTCCCTTTATGCTTGTTCAGTTCATGCTGAACTAAATATAAGGTCTAGAAATTATTTATAATTTCATTTAATGAACAATTATTCATTCTTAATCATTAGAGCCCTGTAGCAGTTCTTCACGAAATACCCTGCTGACATCTTGGTTAATGTTGAATGTTCTTAAATGCTCTTTTGGATTTTTTTTTTTTTTTTTTTTTTTTGAAGGGGCTTTAAGCAAAACCCTTAAACAATCCAAGTATGTTAACTTGTGTATACGATTTTATTAGAAGAAGGTTTTGGCATCTTAGACAGCTCTATTGGTAGTATGCATCACCTTTCTATGAAAATATGAATAACACAATTATAGTTAACAAATATAGCTGCAAGCAGCCATTACCGGGGCCAAGCGCAAGAAGCGGCAACATATGCCAAAATGGCAAGGAGTGGCAGACCAACTGCAGCAAGGAGCAATTAAGGGCATTTTGAGAGAACTTTGGGCAAATGGCTAAGAAAATCACATAAACATTAACTTATAAGATGATTTAATGGGTTATCACTTTCGAACAATAGGTGGCGCAGTTACGAAATAGATGTGATGTGGTCAGAGTGAGGTGACAATGACACATGCAAAGTTTGGTGTCAAAATGTGAAGGCATTGCAGAGATAAAGCCTAAATAGTAATTTTGGCAGCATGCCTACATTTTGATGCTGTGGTATACGAAAACGGTTTTGTCTATCATCGTGCAATTCATAACTTTTAGTCGGCACGGTCTGGAGATGATACGATTCAATTTTCGTGAAAATCGGACAAACGGTCTAGGAGGAGTTCGAAAAAGAAGGTTTTTCAAACAAATAAAGATGGCGAACAGGAAGTTTGTCTGATTATGGAAAACCTGATATCTATGTTTTCGGCACAATAGAAGGAATCTATTAAGATCAGTTTCATTGCAATAGGCAAATTTATTCAAAAGTTATTAGCGTTCTCAGAAATTCATTATAACTTTTGACCAACAGGTGGCGCTGTCTCAAAATCTTTTGAGTACCTTCAGGGCATGCTGCTTATGGCACACACTGAGTTTTGTAATATTACACTAATGCATTTGTTTAGTATAGCATTTTATTTCACAAAACTCTATTGAAGTCAATTGGAATTTCACGTTTTCTTCTTTTATAGCGCCACCAAGAGCCTCAGTCCCACAATTTTTTTTATGTGTCCTCAGAGTGACCCCATACATATGTGTGTCAATTTTGGTGCAAATATCTCAATTCACTTCCGAGTTATAAACATTTATATGAAAAAACACGTAAAAAATGACTGACACATGACTTTGTTTGAATTTTACTACCCCTTACTATCAATATTTTCGCATTTGGGCATTAGCGTTTAGTTAACAAGCTATGATTCCGTGTTTCTGGCGGTGGTTTCGTCTCGATCGGAACAGCGGTTTTGAAGATATCGCCAAGTGTTTTTTTCGCGCTAAATCGCTACGCTACACCAACCGTAACACGAAACCCAGCATGTTTAGTATCGTTGGACTCGGCAACGATTCAGGAACTCAAAAAATGACTGCCGTGAAAATAAGTGTACCACACCCAAAGTTATAAGCGTTTGAAAAAAAAAATTCACCACTAGGTGGCGCTGTTTCGAAACTTCTCAGGCTTTTTCAGGGCATCGTACTGATGACCCATACCGAGTTTCGTAACAATTCGTTCATGCGTTCAAAAAATACAGCATTTTAGCACATAATTCAAAATGGCCGACAGCCAAAATGGCCGATCTGGGAAAATTGGATATCAGTCGACTCGGCATGATGCCCTGAATCTAACGAGATGAAGTTTATGATTTTTGGACAAACCGTTCAGAAGTTACGAGCAAAAATAGCCATTTTTCATATCTCCGGACCACTAGGTGGCGCTGCGCCGAAACGCTGCACGTAGCCTCAGGTCATGCTTGTGATAACACGTACCAAGTTTGGTCTGAATAGGATTAAGCGTTGCGGAGATACAGCCTCACGTCTGTTTTCGCAAGCTCTACGTAAAATTAGTTTGCGCGTTTATCGAAAACGGTTCTTCGAATCATCTTGAATTCCATAACTTTTTGTCAGCACTGCCTGGAGATGATCCGGTGCGATTTTGGTGAAAATCGGACAAACCGTCTAGGACGAGTTCGCAAAAGTAGGTTTTTTGGAAAATTCAAAATGGCGGCCATTTTTTTATGACGGAAAATGACGTCATAGGGTGCGATCGAATCGGCATGAGCTCAGGAACAAGAGGAAAAAAGAATTTTGTTGATAGGCCTTACGGTTCAAAAGTTATTAGCATAATAAAAGTGCAACTTTGGACAGTTGGTGGCGCTAGAGGGAATGAGTTAGAGACACCAAAATTGGTGTATTTAAAGTTGGGACTGTCCTCTATCAGAATGTCAAACCAAAACAACTTTCCCGCAAACCGGTCTATGGGCTGCCATAGACGCCCAGTCGGAAGAAGAATAATAATAATAAATATAGCTGCAAGCAGCCATTACCGGGGCCAAGCGCAAGAAGCGGCAACATATGCCAAAATGGCAAGGAGTGGCAGACCAACTGCAGCAAGGAGCAATTAAGGGCATTTTGAGAGAACTTTGGGCAAATGGCTAAGAAAATCACATAAACATTAACTTATAAGATGATTTAATGGGTTATCACTATCGAACAATAGGTGGCGCAGTTACGAAATAGATGTGATGTGGTCAGAGTGAGGTGACAATGACACATGCAAAGTTTGGTGTCAAAATGTGAAGGCATTGCAGAGATAAAGCCTAAATAGTAATTTTGGCAGCATGCCTACATTTTGATGCTGTGGTATACGAAAACGGTTTTGTCTATCATCGTGCAATTCATAACTTTTAGTCGGCACGGTCTGGAGATGATACGATTCAATTTTCGTGAAAATCGGACAAACGGTCTAGGAGGAGTTCGAAAAAGAAGGTTTTTCAAACAAATAAAGATGGCGAACAGGAAGTTTGTCTGATTATGGAAAACCTGATATCTATGTTTTCGGCACAATAGAAGGAATCTATTAAGATCAGTTTCATTGCAATAGGCAAATTTATTCAAAAGTTATTAGCGTTCTCAGAAATTCATTATAACTTTTGACCAACAGGTGGCGCTGTCTCAAAATCTTTTGAGTACCTTCAGGGCATGCTGCTTATGGCACACACTGAGTTTCGTAATGTTAGACCAAAGCATTTGTTTAGTATAGCATTTTATTTCACAAAACTCTATTGAAGTCAATTGGAATTTCACGTTTTCTTCTTTTATAGCGCCACCAAGAGCCTCAGTCCCACAATTTTTTTTATGTGTCCTCAGAGTGACCCCATACATATGTGTGTCAATTTTGGTGAAAATATCTCAATTCGCTTCCGAGTTATAAACATTTATATGAAAAAACACGTAAAAAATGACTGACACATGACTTTGTTTGAATTTTACTACCCCTTACTATCAATATTTTCGCATTTGGGCATTAGCGTATAGTTAACAAGCTATGATTCCGTGTTTCTGATGGTGGTTTCGTCTCGATCGGAACAGCGGTTTTGAAGATATCGCCAAGTGTTTTTTTCGCGCTAAATCGCTACGCTACGCCATCCGTGAGACGAAACCCGACATATTTTGTATCGTTGGACTCGGCAACGATTCAGGACCTCAAAAATATGACTCCCGTGAAAATAAGTGTACCACACCCAAAGTTATAAGCGTTTGAAAAAAAAAATTCACCACTAGGTGGCGCTGTTTCGAAACTTCTCAGGCTCCTTCAGGGCATCGTACTGATGACCCATACCGAGTTTCGTAACAATTCGTTCATGCGTTAAAAAAATACAGCATTTTAGCACATAATTCAAAATGGCCGACAGCCAAATTGGCCGATCTGGGAAAATTGGATATCGGTCGACTCGGCATGACGCCCTGAATCTAATGAGACCAAGTTTTTGATTTTTGGAGAAACCGTTCAGAAGTTATGAGCGAAAATAGCCATTTTTCATATCTCCGGACCACTAGGTGGTGCTGCGCCGAAACGCTGCATGTAGCCTCCGGTCATGCTTGTGATTACATGTACCAAGTTTGGTCTGAATAGGATGAAGCGTTGCGGAGATAAAGCCTTACAACTGTTTTCGCAAGCGTTACGTAAAATTAGTTTGTGCGTTTATCGAAAACGGTTATTCGAATTATCTTGAATTCCATAACTTTTTGTGAACACTGCCTGGAGATGATCCGGTGCGATTTTGGTGAAAATCGGACAAACGGTCTAGGACGAGTTCGCAAAAGTACGTTTTTTGGAAAATTCAAAATGGCGGCCATGTTTTTATGACGGAAAATGACGTCATAGGGTGCGATCGAATCGGCATGAGCTCAGGAATAAGAGGAAAAAAGAATTTTGTTGATAGGTCTTACGGTTCAAAAGTTATTCGCATAATAAAAGTGAAACTTTGGACAGTTGGTGGCGCTAGAGGGAATGAGTTAGAGACACCAAAATTGGTGTATTTAAAGTTGGGACTGTCCTCTATCAGAATGTCAAACCAAAACAACTTTCCCGCAAACCGGTCTATGGGCTGCCATAGACGCCCAGTCGGAAGAAGAATAATAATAATAATAATAATAAGAACCGGCACAGATACAATAGGTGCCTCCGCACCTTCGGTGCTTGGCCCCTAATAATAATAATAATAATAATAAGAACCGGCACAGATACAATAGGTGCCTCCGCACCTTCGGTGCTTGGCCCCTAATTAGCTTGATACAGTTAGCTATATATCACGTTATACTAATCAGCTGAATACAAAACACCAATGCTGTCTCCACACCACTAGGTGTCAATTTAAGTGTTTGTTATAAGTATATTTCCAATAAACAAATAAGCTTTCATTTGATTCCTCCATCCTCACGTTCTTTCCTTGAAGCCGTCCCTCGCCTGAGGAAGAAGGGATGCACACATCAGAAATGAGAAGCACCCATAGACTGCAGCTTTGTTCGAAATTGCCTCCTATATCCTTAAATTGGACACTATTTCAGGGGACAGCCATTTGTAGTGATGTTCAAAACCATAGTGAACGTCATTGAGTGCGCTCATTTAATCCAACATCTACACACATGCAAATGAACACAGTGCCGGTTTTCACTCACACAGCACAGAAGCCTTTGATTTGATAACCACTTTATGATAAGATCTAAAACTATTTCATTTTTATTTAGATAAAACACCATCTGGTGGTTTTCTGAGTTTTTGCACCTTTGCTTGTTCCGCAATGCACCTAATAAGCCTAATAGAAGACATCTCAGGACTCTCTGGGTTGAAAAGATAGTATATTTCCTTTCTCAGTAGCAGCTCATTGTAAAAAAAGGCCTTGCCATCCGTAGTCCTATAAGTCTCTCCTGCCCTCTCCATTCACAGGCCAAGGAATTGCTTAAGGCTATTCTCCTTTCTCACTTATAGTGCTAAAGTGCCCAGACACCACTTTTACACCAAGGTGGTAAAATGTTAACATTCTGTTGAAGCTGACGGCTGTCAAACCATTGTGCCCGTTTGTCAATCTCAATTACGCCCTCAGTGCCTTTTTACCTCTCAGGGGGAATAAATTCCCATTTCTTTTGTGCAATTGTGCTTTTTAGGCACAGTAGAGGACTGGTTTTCAGCTAGGGCCAACTAGGAATAGAGCTAATTGCAGAGATTAGCCTACCATTTCACTTGAAATAGGGTCGCTGGGATACTGGGCAAATCTCTGTATCCTGAGCCATACATGATCACATAATGCATCAAGTGTTGGTGGACTTGAGTAAGGCTATATGACAGGAAAGCATCCTGACTGTGCATTTACGTGTATCCAGAATAGGGGTGTTGGTTTGATTTGCTATGAGATCTTTATTTTGAAGGAAATATAGGAAATTAAGAGGATAAGTAATTTCCATAGGAAATTAAGAGGAAAGTGTGATTAACTCTATAAAAGCAGAAGTTTTCAGTTCTCTGGTCTGGAGCCTTCAGGTGTATGTATGCCAAGGAGGAAAGACATCAGCAATGATCTTAGAGAAGCTATTGTTTCTGCCATCAATCTGGGAAGGGATATACGGCCATTTCCAAACAATTTGAAGTCCATTATTCTACAGTAAGGAAGATAATTCACAAGTCGAAAACATTCAAGACAGTTGCCAATCTTCCCTGGAGTGGACGTCCCAGCAAATTCACCCCAGGATCATGACAGTGAAACTGCCAAAAACCCAAGAGCTACACCTCAGACTCTACAGGCCTCAATTAACATGTTAAATGTTAAAGTTCATGGCAGTAGAATTAGCCAAAGGTGAATTGTCCTGACTTTTTCTAAGTCACGCCCTAGAATGTAGATTGACCAATCACAGCCCAGCCAAGAACCAGCTCCCACAGAGGTCCGACAGTTACTGCGCTCCATTGACTTTCAACACAGGCGTCTCATATTTTTGGTCTCGGCAGGCTATTACCGTCTTAAGTTTTATCCAAAATATGGTTAAACGTTTTGCTTCGGGCATTTGCAACACAGATGCGCGTTTCCCAGAGAGGTTGGAGAGGGGTGTCCATTTTTTCCCTTCCCAAAACTGAAGTAAAATCCTGACAGCGACAAGTGTCGTGTTTGGATTAAACTGTATGGACATCCTCAGTCAGCTAAACCCCGCAAAGATCAACAAGCACATCTTTTTTTTTTTACTTCTAACCTTATTGTGAGTGTGAAGTTATACTAGTTAGACCGTTTTGACCGTAATGTTTTAGGTTATGATTTCGGTTCTCATACCGGTTGTTGATGCACTACGCTGCTAATAAATACAACGTTGTACAGTACTCGTGTAGTCCGTTTGCTTTGTAATAATGATTATAGAAGTGAATAGAGACCTACCCAGCTTTGCATGAACAGTGTTGCTCCCTGATATTGTTAGTCCCAGCCTCCGTCTCGATTAGTAGGAAATGCGGTGGTTCATTTTTTGACTGTAACCGTTAACGTTATGGTTTTGCCTCTATTTTGGATGCCTTGTTTTTGATTGCGTTTCACCTGTATGTCTTGAATGCAGCCTCCGAACGCATTTTGCAGCCCCCTTTGCCTACTTCTATTGGACACTTTATTTGCTGCTTTATAAAAGTTTGATAACATTTCAGCAGGAAGAGCTGTTACAGCATAAGCCATGCAGAGCGCAGATGAAGTTTGACGGATGTAGCAACAGTAACTAAGGGGGGCGGGGCTTAGCCAAAGGTTAATTATGGCATGTTTGGAAGGGTTGCCAGGAGAAAGCTTCTTCTCTCTAAAAAGAACATGGCAGCATGGTTTAGGTTTGGATAGTTGCATCTGAACAAACCACAAGACTTCTGGAACAATGTCTTTTAGACAGATGAAACCAAAGTGGAAATGTCTGGCCATTATGTACAGCGCAAAGTTAGGAGAAAACCAAACAGAGCATATCAGCACAAAGACCTCATTCCAACTGTCCGTCATGCTGATGGAGGGATGATGATTTTTGGCTTGTTTTGCAGCCACAGGACCAGGGCACCTTGCAGTCATTGAGTCGACCATTAACTCGGCTATATGCCAAAGTATTTTAGAGTCAAATGTGAGGCCATCTGTCCAACAGCTAACGCTTGGCTGAAATTGGAACTCTTTCAATGGAACAAGACAAAGATCCTAAGCACACCAGCAAATCAACAGAATGGCTGAAAAAGAAAAGAATCAAGGTGTTGTAATGGCCCAGCCAGTGTCCAGATCTCAACCTGACTGAAATACTGTGGCGAGACCGTACGAGAGCTGTGCATAAAAACCTAACCACAAACTTTATGAAGAAGAGGACAAAATTCCACCACAACAATGCAAGAGACTTATTACAGCTAAAAGTGGCACTACTAGCCATTAAATTATATGGTGTAATTACTTTGTCACCCATAAATAAATAATGATAAAATGCAATGTGTCATTTGTTGTTGTTTACCTAAGGTTGTATTTACCTCATTTCAAGACCTGCTAAGGACCAGGGGCCTGATGTATAAACGTTGCGTACGCACAAAATGGGTATAGAAATATGCGTACGCATTTTTCCACACACATATCGGGATTTATAAAAAATAAACTTGGTGTAAATAAGTGCGCACTGTAAGGATGCTCTTGACCATGCGTACGCACTCTTGTAGATGAGTATGGCGACACCGATGGTGTGCTGGAGTCAAATGTCTTTTTGCTCACTATTAGACAGAGAATCTAAAGAAAATTATAAATCTACAGAAATATAATTCAAATATAATTTCACAAACCTATCATCACTTGAAGCAAACATCCATCCCTTCTTAAATGACAGTGCCAGCACGCGTGTTGGGCCGTTTAGTGAAACTGACGCGCATATAGCCTATAATCTAACGGCAGATTGAGTAAAACCGTAAATCTTCATTATGAGTCCAAATCATAAATAGAGAGCATGTTCTCAATAATAGTTTAAATAAATAAAAGAATTATTTAAATTATGTTTTACTTCTGATATAAACATTTAGCCTAGATTAAATATGCCATTCTCATTAATGGAGTTAAACACTTAAACTACATGAAATCATTACTGAGAAGTTACAAAAAAAATATATTCAATAAATAGAAAGACCTATTTGTTGTGGATGCAATGCTTTTGAACACTTTCCCTCTGGTATGCTGTGTTTTAATGTTTTAGCTGATGGCTAATAGCAGATTGTCTGAAAAAATTCAATTGTTTCATGCAAATAATGCACAAATCTATGTCTATCTGTTTCCATTAAAAATACTATTTGGCCAGTGGAAAAGATTGAGAAAAACTTTCTCTGAAATGTATTTAACACTATTTGATTTATTCATTCAAAAACAAGGCAAGGATCGGCTACTAAAAAAAATGTGTTTGTAATAATGTGACGGCATTTCATATTTTCCTAACGTCTTGTACCGTTAAACTTGGTATCACGTGGATGAATAATCATATGCAAATGATATGCAGATGAGGATATGCATAGTACAACTAGGCGTTGTAATCTCCATATATGGTTATTTCAGGGAGGAGACGCACGTGCGCACAATGTCCCGCTGACTGGGATTTATAAAGTGATTTCTGCGCAGGATCTGGCGCACGAACGGTTTTATAAATTTGAAAACTTTTGTGCGTACGCAAATTCTGCCTTATGTGCGTACGCACACTTTAAGGATGAAATCTACGCAAAGTTTTATACACAAGGCCCCTGAAGTTTTTTTTTTCCATTATGTTCTGATGCGTAAAACCGATCACCGAAGTGGGCGGAGCTTAGCTAAAAATCAATTGCCATTTATTAAAACAGCATATTTTTCTTGAAATGAATGACTTCTCCACAATGAAAGATTAGTAAGACACTTGCAAATGCATAAGACAAACCACCACAGACTCAAATGTGTGTTCCCTTGAGAATACCTTTAAAAAAAAACTGAATAAAGCTGAAGTGGAGGGTTTTGCAAAACAATGACTATAAATTCTCTGTGACTCAGTGAACATATTGGTTGAAATTCACCACATACCTTTTCCCCATAGTGAATGTAGGTGGATGCCTCCGGGCCAAGGTACTTTACCAGGCTGGAGATGACAGCATCTCTTCTCTCCTCCATCTAAAATGAGAAAAAAAATAAAAATATTTGTTTATCATCATATCATAAAAGGCCAAAGCTACTAAAATATGACTGCACTATTGTCATTGTGAAAAAGAAGTGTGCTTGGTTGTATTGAATGTGCACTTGTTTTGCAATGTGTATTTTAAATCTCAATTGCATTAATTAAAACCTTTACTTGTAGGTAATATATTAATGAAATAAAAGGCCAATTTAAGTGTACTTAAAGAGAACACTGTTTCTTAACACACTTAAGTACATTTCTACAAAGCAAACTTTGTAATAATGTAAATTAAAAAGTTTTATTAGTACATTTTAAATCCTTAAATCAATCATATTATGCTTTTAAATGTTGTTTATATGTCTATGTGGTGTTTTTAATATCCTTTAAAGTACCCCTATTATGCTATTTTACAGTTTCCTAATTGGTGTCTTCTATAACAGGGTTACATGCGTCAAAGGTCAAAAAACATTTAATGTTTCACCTTTTTTTCATAAAGTTTCATTTTCTCATAATATACATTTGCACATCACCACATTTTCAATGACTCTCAAACAACTCGTCAGATGTATCAATCTCTCTAAATCCCTCCTTTTCCGTGAGCTGCTCTGCTCAGCCAAACAGCTCAGTCTGTGATGGTAAATTATTGTGTTTGTGGAGGTTGCAAAAACTCCGGCCTGTCAGGACTTCAAGATCAAGTCCACAAGTTTCCATTACAAGAAAAAGGACGGTGCTATAGCCTATATCTTTTGTTCCTGGTGCGGTTTGTGCGGGTGAAGAGACGGGATTTCTCTTCCGCATCGGCTTCGGAAAACGTGGTCGTGTCGTGTGTAGCGTTCACTTCAGATCAAATGATTATCATCCCGGCGATAGATGGAGTTCAACATGGGATGCCGAAGCAAGAATATTGATCGTCGTGTACTATACCAATAGCATCAAATAGTGTGATTTATAGGTAGTCATGCCCTAAATAGAGGCAACTTGTAACTGAAAAAACAAAATTGGTTGTTTAAATACTCAAATCTTTAATTTTCTGTTAATGTTATAAACCAGGTGAAAAATATTTATAAAAATGTAACCGAGTATGCTTTTAGTACAATAGAAATATACTCAAGTGTAGTTTTTATACATTTAATAGTATAAGTCTACCCTAAACATACCAATGTCTACTGGCCTGTTATAGGATCATAATAATCCGTACAATATTGTGTGCACAGTGTATATCATTAGCGAACGTGTATATCTATAAGCATGTCTCTCACCAAAAGACACCCGTCCTGTTCTTCACTGGTTCTCTTCCGCCCATTACATCATGCCCACCACGCCCATTTTTAAACGTGAAAGTAAAATTTTCTCACAAAAATGACTCCAGAAGCTTCTGTAGCCTATTTATAAGTATATTTTAAAGAAACTCTAGTTCCTACATTATTTTTCTATGCACTCATTGGGTCCTCTAACCTGCAATATGCCCTTAAAGTTCTGTATCAATTCCAAAGAATAGCTACTGACCTATAAAGCCCTAAATGGTCTAGCAACAATCCATCGCGTTCTTCAAGATCACAAAATTTGAGGCTTCTGGTCATTCCTAGGATATCTAAGTCCACTTAAGGAGGGAGGGTATTCTCACATTTAACTCTGGAACAGCCTTCCTGATATTGTTTGAGGCTCAGACTCACTGTCCCAATTTAAAACTAGATTAAATGCGCATCTCTTTAGCCAAGCATTCACATAATGCTTACCTTCTATACCACTGTTGAAACAGATCGAATGCATTAATATTATGAACAGCAGCTATGCTAATTATTTCCCATCTGCTTTTCTGCTGTTATCGATAAAAAGCGTTTGTACCCAGCCTCTCACGGAGACTTCAGATGCCCCAACACCTGCGATGAGATGACTAAACACCTGTGAAGAGATGACTCAACGCTGGCGATATGTTATACCCTAAATCAATGCATGATTAACTAACTGTATTTTTCTATGTGCATTTCTGAAATGCACTTTCTGTAAAGTTGCTTTGAAACAATATGTATTGTGAAAAGCGCTATACAAATAAATTTGAGTTCAATTGAATTACATGTCAAAATCCCTCTAAAGTTCAGCTAATTTTATTTAAAATCTATTTAAACTAGACTATACTCTAATTTAATAGTAAATAACAATTGAGTGTCTGAAAATATTACATATATTCTTTTAAAGTATTTCTTTTTATATTATGTCCTTAAGCTCTCTTTTTAAAATTACACTAAACTGTACTTTTCACAAGGGCAGGAAATGGGCTGAGTCCGGTTCTTCAACCTACATCGATCTGAATAACCAAAAAGGAATAAGTTCCTCTTTTGGTCTCTGTTCTCCCTGAGTTATAGGCAGGAAGGGGCCGGGGCGCGCACCCCTGCTGTTCCTATGCCAACGAGTGACAAATGTTAAGGGAACACATAAAACTCTGCATCTGCATGTTGTGCATACTTCCAATTGAACCAAGTGTCCCAGACCATAATTCAGCCAACAATTATGGCTTTACACCAGGTAGGGGGCAGGGCGGCAGAGGAACCATATGCGGTGGGTGGTATAAAAGTGTCCATAATGATCTGGAGGGCTACCCGCTATCTCTAATGCCTACTCATAAAACAAACCGTACAAAATTGCACTTCATGTCCACTCTTCAGATTTTGCCAGCTCATTCATGTGAAGTTAATATGGCGTAACGGCAGAAAGCACACGGCTCTGCTATAATGTGCTGAGTTGTAAGTCTGGACTTCTTGGACATCTGTATACAACTGGTGACAACAGCTTTGCAGAGTACAATACATTTTACAGACAAAACTCATTACTGGAGGTAAAAAAAAAATGGGTTGGCTATTCGAGCACAAAATACTTGCATACACAAAATGGTAATGTGTATTAGCAGATGAGAACCAGTTTGACTAGTCCATCTGATTCATTATGAATGAAGCAACCATAAACTCAGTGGCTTAGAAGAACTCCTCTTGTCTATAATACATGACTACAGATGGTCTGGGAGTTTTATCTTAAGAAGCGAGATGGAAACATGTTTTTCATCAGACCAGCTCATATCGAAGAGAGAGTTTCTGGTCTCATGTGGTTTTTAGCTTTAGGCTACAATAGCTATTTTCTGCATGCAGGATGTGTGGCTATCTTTGTTTAATTGAGCATCGAGTAACAGATAAATCAATATTTTGCCACATTATCAGTCAGGAAAAGACCCTTTGAAGACTCAAAGCTGGAAATATTTGTTTTCCAAAGATAAGGCTTCAAGTTTAAATCTGTAGCAAAGACATTTAGCTAATCATTTATAAGATTAGAAAATTTTAAAGAGGCGGTTTACTGCTTTTTTCTTTGCATGATTGTATTTATGAGGTGCACTATAACATGTATTTGTGTTTTTTCTTTTTTAAAAAGTCTTATTTTCATCAGTTTAACCTTTATTGTAAGCTGCGTTCTCCGTCATTTGAACGACCAGTTGACATCCTGATTCTATGAAACCACTCCCCCAGAAACAGGCAATGGGCTCAGATTGGTTAGTTTGGGCCAGTGTGTTGTAATTGGCTAAACTGTGTAGCGAACATTGTCCGGAAACTTCACGGCCATTACCTTTACGGGCGAAATTTGCATATGTGTTTCTGTCAAATGTAAATTATGGTGTTGATACTTGAGTATCAGTCTGAACCAGAATCAGACCCAAAAAGAGGTGATGATGAGAGTCAAGCAGAACCTCACCAAACACGGCTCTTACAAAACGTTTCTGAATGGTATTTTTTTAAATTATTATTATTCTATTCTATTCTATTATTATATAAGAATTTTGATACGTTGTTACTTGAAAATGCTACTGCTGCTTGTTAGCTTTTGAGATATAGTTTTCTTCTGATTAAACATTTGATATAACTGAATTAAAGTTATTGTTTTATCAATATAATGAACAACCATTTTATCTATTCACAAAACTTACACTGATAACAACAGCTGATGTTTGCTGCGATTACATAAAGTACATATACATTAAAAATACATTTACAAAATTAGTACATACACAAATTCAGGTCAAAAATGTTTGTACGCGTTTGTTGTAGACACGAAATAAGCATAACCAAGTGGCTATAAAGCCAGCGCTGGCTTTTTATAAACTAAAACATTACGTCTGAAATTATACATGCAAATACATTTAAAATGATTGTCTTGGCCTACTTACAGGTTGTGGCCCAACAACTGCTGCCTCTGGTTTTAAAGTTGGAACTGCTTCATGTTTTAGTAACAGTTTCTTGTTGAATCCGGCATTGAATTCAAGGAGATTCTGGAAGCTGTCTTTCATAAAATGCGCAGCACAGAGAGCTAAATTACAATCATCATTTTCAGGAACATAATCATAATCAATGTATGGGTTAGTTGCGAATATAACCCGTTGTAGTCCCAATCGAGTCGTTTTTATAGGCATTAAACTTCCTGATTTTTAAAGATGATATCAGTGTTTACACTCAACTTTCAGCACTGCAACTTTGCAGATACTGTTCATCCAGCAACAGCAACATTACACACTATTTAAAATGAAAAAAGTGAAACTGCAATCAACCACCCCTTTAAAATAATATTTTGAATCAGCTTTTGTTTTCATATTTTCAGTTAAAAAATTTATTTTAGTTTTAATAATTTTAGAACTTTAACTTATTTATTTCAGTTAATTGCCAAGACAGCATTCCTATTTGGGATCTATGACATCAGATGGGCAAACACATTTGCATATGACCACCTCCAGAGCAAGACATGGACGAATAGTTATACAGTCCCCGCCCACAGTCATTCAGTCACAGAAATGACAAGACAATAGGAGTTTCAAAGCTCTGTCACCAAACCAAGAATAAACAGACGATAGTGACAGAACCCTGACAACTTGATACAGTGTACAGATGCCCATTCATTTTCTGCTGTACTTGACACGTCCAGTTTAAACAGCTTATTAGCTAATTTCCTTAGAGACTTTAGAAGAATATCAGTGTCAGGAACAAGTGTGGTGTTTTTTTGTTTTGTTTTTTGTTTTTAATGACAGCCCGGATCTCGTGGGATGATTGTATGTTTGATATAATCCAAGACCAGGGTGTCTTGTTTCCCAATTAACCCTTATTAATTGTATTAGTGTATTAATGCTGCCTTCACTGCCTTTGATATCCCACAATACCTGTGCTTTCCATTCTGTGACAGTTGAGCTAAAATAATAAAGATGGCATCTGAAAGTTGCGGTTGCTAGTCAGTTTGTGTTTAAATGTACGTTTCTGATCAATGTTTTTCACTTCTGATGTCATTCCTAGCAAGAAATTATACTAATTTATCATAGTAATTAAATATTTGCTTAGTTTTCACCAAAACTCGCTCTATTCTGCTGTAGATCAATAAATTGTTACACAGCGTCAGATATCTGTGCAAAATAAGTTTTGCGTGGTGCACAAACGTGTCCTGAAAAAGTTCAGACGCAATTTCATACATTTTCAGACGCAGCCTAAGTTTTTTTTTTTTTTTTTTTTATCAAATATTTATATTGTATATTATTTCACCTTTATTTCAATTACTGAAAATATTTTTTTAATTGTCTACAAACAACACTGTTGCTGGTCTAGTTGGTGGACCAACAACAGCAAAATGTAGCTTGTACTAGTAATCCTAAAGTGCAATTGCTAAATGGTCATTAGGGTTCACTGCAGCTGCCGTTAAAAGCTAAGTCAGTGTTCTGAGACGCACGGTTAGAACTGCACATGTGCATTGGCTGGTCCAGCCTGAAAAGTTCATTCATTTTTTTTAGCGTCATCTTAACAAACACATTTGTGAGACAACTGTTGTCTGTTGTTGTCAGAGATTTCAATGGTGATTTCAAATATGAAATTTAATCGTAAGCTTGGAGAACAGTTTTGAAGAATTTGATGCTTCCCCATTTACAGAGATAGATGTACTTGATTGTTGGAAATAGCTGCCCGAGAGGAGTAAAAAACAAAACAAAAAACGCTTAAGTGAAATGACTTGTCTTGAAGGAACTTTTATATTGTTTTCTATAGGTAGAAATGCTATAGGTGGGAATGCCAACAGATTTCTCCACATATCATAGATTTCAGTTCAGCTAGATGAAGCAAACCAGTACATGAGCATCCAAAACACAACAAACAGTTGTGAGCAGCTGTCTGCCTTTTCTTTTAAGCAGGGTAATATGACTATTATGCTTTAGAAGGACAGATTTTGTGCAACTAAATGTCAATGTATTCATTTTCACCTCTTGAGTCACGATCTAAGTATTCCTATGAAAGTGTGAAACTGAGAATAGACCTGACACCGGAACATAATGAACTTCTTTCTCTTTATCTCACACTCCCTCTTTCCATTTCTCACTCCAGTTCAGCTCACTATACAGTATGTCTCCGTTTTTCATAAACCCACACTCTCATTCTTTGTCTCTCACCTTTCTTTCGCTCCAGTCAAGGGCCTGAACTCCAGCGATGAAACCCACCAATGCAGGATTGCCTTTGGGGCTGGTGGCGTCAAATGTGACGCTTATAGGGCAGCACTCGGAGGGGCGAACCACAATTTCCCCTGAGAAACCCTTTTCTTTCCAAAATGCCTGTGAAGTCAGATAAAAAAAATCAGAGAATCAACAATCCTGCACATTAAAAGCATTCATTCTTGATTAGCATGCTGACAACTGACATTATCTGCATACTGTAGGTCAACTATATTTGCATAAATGTAAAAAGTCAATTGTAGATTTAGAAGATTTTATATGCATTATCTGCATATTGATCATCTCTTAAGCAATGTGATCATCTCTTTTCAACGTGACCCATTGAAAAGTGAATTTTGGATGTTGAGATGAACATATATTTATATAGATAAGTAGCAACGATCCGTTAAACTAAAAAATAACACGTATAATAAATTCCAGGTAGAGACCAGGTAGTTCAGGCAGCCAGGGCGGAGCAGGATGCGCAGGCGGCAGCCAGGTCGGTGAAGACCCCTCAGGCGGCCATGGAGAGTAGCTACTGCCCCCTCCCCAAATTTTCTTGGGGGTAGCTACAGGGTTGTAGGCTGAAGTAGGAACAGACGACACCGGCTCAGGAACAGACAGCGTGGCGGCAGCCATCTTGTCCGGGGACCGACAGAAGTGACGTGAACGGTCTCTGGCTCTGCAGACGGGACATGAATGGTCTCTGGCTCTGCAGGCGGGACGTGAACAGTCTCTGGTTCGGCAGACGGGACGTTAGCGGTCTCTGGCTCGGCAGGGCTAATGTGGAGCGCAGGCTTAGGGTGTACTGTGGGTTTGTGTGGTTCCTCATTTACCAAGCCTGCAGTAAATGCCGAAGAGCTCAGTGAAAGGGCCAGGTGGTGCAGTGGTATCAGGCAGCTAAGCAGCTCAAAGACCTCCGTGAAAAAATATAATGCACAGACCATACCAGACAGATGAGCCAGCTCCAAAAAGTCCCTCATGTAGTCCTCGATTGGCCGGTCTCCTTGACGGAGACATATCAGTTGTGCTGCTGGATTCATGTTTGGTGAGTTCTTCTGTCATGGACTAGTTGGAGGAAGCAGGATCCAAATGCAGCACATTTATTTAACTAAACTTCAAACTTACAAACTCAGAGCAGGAAACAGGACTCAGGGACAGAACAACCAACATCAATGCTATAACATCAACAACTCACCAAGACAGGGCTGAAACACAGGGCTTAAATACAGGGGAAAGCAAGCTAGACAGGATAACAAGGGGGCGTGGTTAATGGGATAACATCTGGGATGTCTAATAGACAGAAAGGTAACCACTAAACATGACAAGACAAACCCACACCATGACAATTTTAAAGGTTAAATAATTCATAATCACATTCTGTCTATGTGCAGTTTAAAATATTTAGTACTTTTACAAAACGCCACTTTATCTGAAGCACCTCATTTAAAAAAGAAAAATGACTTATGTGTGTATTCCTGTGTGTACGTTGATTTGGATGAAAGCATTTGCTATATAAATAAGTGTAAAATATATTTTACATTTATTCATTTAGTGAACTTGATGCATACTTATGGGGCTGCATTTATAAATGTGTTATCCGTAATTCATGTATATATGCAATTAGAAATAATAAGAAAGATTAAAACACACTTTTAAGCACTCAGACAGGCTTTCATGGACTAATAATTGAGTGGGCTGCACAGAAAAGCTTCTCCCTGAAAATCCCTGAGAATCTCCCAGATTCACAAGAAGTTTGATCGATCATTTTGTTTCCCTTAATTGTAGGGTCAAATAGTTATGTCAAATGCATAATAAAATGTATAAATACTCAATTCACATTCACATAATCTGTTTCTCAGGGTCCAGTGGGGGTGATTTTTGTGCATGTTTGGTTTCAGTTGGTTCTGATCAAATGTATGATAAATTTAAGTGTGAACTTAAATTGTGAAAAAAGTGTGAGCTCAAGTTTTATGCACAAGTTGTTAATGAATGAAACCCATGATCTTAATTAATATACAAAAGATAGAAAATATTCAAGTAAACATTTCACAGTTGACAGACAAAGCTTATCTTCTGATTAAGGTGGTTTCTCCAGTCACTGCAGGGCCAAAATTAAATATTATATTAAAGTGAGGGCTTAAACTGAATATGGTAGACTGAGCACTAGGAGACAGCTCTCCATGACTTTGCACATTTTAACTTCATTATAGAGTATAATGCGATCGAGCCAAAGGGGAAGTAACTGCACTGCGCTGCGCTAGGAAAGCCAGTAAAGCCGGCTGTGGCTAAGTGGATGGGTTATGCGTGTTACTCACAGTGGGGTATGTGACGATAAATTTCGTCATGTGGCCCATGGGCAGGCACTGGATGAGCCGCTGGCGCTCAGCTGGCAGGGCAGGCTCGTAGTGGATCTGGGCTGAAAATGAGGGCATAATCAGCACTGAATGAAAAGCCGTTTAGTCCTAAAAAAGAACAGTGGAATGATACTGACATAAAATAGGAAGAACAGATGAGAGAGGTAACAGATAGTTTTTATAATTTCTTTCACAGTAGAACTATATGCAGATATGCAACATTTCAACAATCAAGATGGCGACCATCTTCAATTCAGGTGTTAGCATTGGGATTTAAATGTTAGTAGTTGGATATAGATGTTGGTTTCATGTTCGCATGTTGCTAAGCTATTGTGAAACTAAAGCATAAATAATACAAATATTGTATTAAAATATTATACAAATATTAGGTAAAATTATGTTTAATTTCAATTAGCTAGTTTTGTCAATTCTGTCTCAGTACTGAAATACAGTATATGTTAATTTGAAACATTTCATCTGTGATCGTCTTGGATTTATATTTTCTCAGAGCTCATCGTCATACATTCTTGGATTGCCGTCAGCCTAGTTTAGACCACATGATTTTTAAAACGTCGGGCTGAACTGTGAGGTTCACACTCCATGACTCGCTCTCTGTGAAATCAGGAGTGTTCAAGTTATTGAGCTGTTCACACAACATAATTGATCCGCAACAGGAGGTAACACACTACACGAGTTGACAACTTCGTCACCCAACGATTCTATCTTGTCTACAAACCACGTTTTATCACAAAAACATCACGCGATCAAACAATCCGGAAATGACGCAAAACAGCACGCGCGCCAATACCCAGCGAAGAAGACGAAGAACACAATACGCTAATATGGACGTCAGACAAAAACTAGTGCTGCAAACTGTTTGCGCGATCATTTGCTTTTTGCTTTGAGAAAAAAATGCAAAAAAAAAAAAAAAAAGATTTACCCGGTGACCTGAACCCATGCCTTGCTCTGATTGGCTGTATCTCATGACGTTCCGTGAGGTTGAGTCGTGCGACAGCTCTGGAGCATGGTAGATATTTTTCTGGGCTCGGTGACGTGACGCGTCTGCGAGGCGTCTTTGATGTGTTGTTGGCTCTTTCATACTAACAGATTGGCGAGCGTTCATCACCTGTTAATCCCCCGCGATCTGTATGCGATAACACCCTGACCTGTCTGCGAGCTCAACAAGTTGCAAATATGGCTTAAAATCACACTTTCCATACAAATTTTGTCTTAAGATGTCTTTAAAGTCAGTATGATTACTGTAAATTGCCTACACTTGAACAAAAAACTAAAGAAAAATTTAAAAGCTAGTCTATGCATAAATCAAATCGGAAAATTGCTTAATATTATCAGTACACAAGCCCTTTGTTTACATACTTTTCTAAGTATGCGTCTTAGTTCAGCCTCAGAGTTAAGAAAATGCATACAATGCCTTAAAATTCTGCCTACAAAGGCAGCTCACTAGATCTTGAAAGAGCAAATGTCTCGCTGACACTCTTTACCAAAGGATTCTGGAATACTGTACACATTGGATTAAGTGTGCTATAAAGGGGAGGACAGGACTGAAAAGAAATACACATTTTAAAGAGCAATGGAAAACAGAAAATGGGCTCCCAGATGAGGGGAAAGGGAAAAATAGGAAGCACAGACAGGAAGAATATGGTAGAGAATAACTCATAGGTCTCAGATCATCCCTGGGTATTGATTTAGGTGGCTATACTTTCTAATCAAGCAGCACTTTGGAAAATTGGATCTAATACCCCAGTGACTAGCTCTCCATGAAATTGCCAAACTATTAAAGAATCCCTGCGATTTAACACTACTACTTTGTTTTCTTAAAAGCCATAATTAAGGCTTAGTCATTTAGTGAATGCGGGGTATCCAATAACTTTATGTGCAGCCCACAGGGCCATCTCTATGTCTGGGTAACGTTAACAGTGCCAGAAGGGACCCTGACCCCAGTTTTGACAAGACAGCCTTCTGGCAACAAGCCAACATGTGAACTAGCCTTTTGAAGAGTGGACACACAAATAAATGTTAGCCTGCCATCCATTTGGTTAATTGAGAAGTAAACGCTTGACAAGCATATCAATATAAAAAGATGTGAAAAGATTAGATTAAGCAAGGATTAGGCCAGATTCAGTTGGGACATGTAGATAACTTTTATAAACGTGCCTTAGAAAAAAAAAAAAACATTACAGGTGTGCATCTTGGGAGAAAACAATTGCACTGACATATTTATGTAAAACACGTTGCGGTTGCATGCAGACATGCGTGCCTATTGGCTGTCCTGCGGCAACTGCAGCAGCCTATCAAGAGAGGCCATAGGTGAAATCAGATCCAATGGGTTAGCTCAGAATACTAGAACCGCTTGAGGACAGCTCGCTGATAGATAAAATTACTCCAAGGGCAAAAGTTCACTCTACAAGTGGGAACGAGTACTTGCCGTGCCTGCAATACGCTCTGGTTCACTTCGGCAATGATAAACCAGATTAAATCAGCCCATTGAGCTATATTTATAGACTCAGACCACACCTGCTTTGGCAGGAGGTGACGTAGTGTGTGCGAAGCGCCCCCATTGAATCTGACTTCACCAAGGGCCTCTCTCGATAGGGTGCTGCAGTTGCCGCAGGACAGCCAATAGAAGCGCAAACCGCTTCGCCTATGTCTGCATGCTGCCGCAACGTGTTTTACTTTAATTAAAAATTATGGATAATTTTGGGCTTCAATATCTCATGAAAAAAAGGTTTGCCCCAAGCGCAAGATATTATGCATTACTCGTTCCTTCATTAGTAACCAAGTATGTTATTTAACACTTATTAGCATGGAGAAAAATATAGACACAGACTGTGGATAGAGGCATGCCTAGAGGGACCGCGGTTGACCCCTCATATAGTCTCACAAAATCCTGTGGGAAACACTGAATGTGATTATCTTAAGAGCTGGAACTGAAAAGCAATTACAAAACACCAGGGTTATTATAACAAAAGAGACAAAAAGGGAGCTTGTATACTGTTGTGAAGGAAATTGTCACTAAGTCCATCTTTAAAATGTTTAGCAAATCACCCAACATCTCATTAAACTGGATCCATTTCAGAATTACTCAGAGAAGCATTTTAATTGAGGCTAATGTTAATAAATGTCTCTGTCCAGAATGAAAAATCAAACAGGACAAGCGATGTGGAGAAGCGCTACGTTGTAATTGTATAAAGCGACGGCAATCAGAAAAAAAAGATATTTTGATTACATTATGTTTCACAAACACTTTGCTAATTGAACAAGAGGCTCTGATTAGCACATTTCCATTGTACAACCTCTCTGGCAGAAGCCTTTCCATTATTTTAATGGAAAAAAAAAAACAAGGCAAAACATGTTTCTAACGTATCTTTTCTTAACCATGATTTATTTTTGCGATCATTTATATGTGACCGCCAATCCCATGACAGCCCACATGAATCTGTCTCTCGTAAGGCCTGTGATGGCAGACGGGGGAAACGGATCTAATTTAACCGCAGTGACTGAGGTGTAGAGTTGCTCTCGTTGATTGAGAGAAATCGCTCTGCGTCTGGCAGTCCATCATAACTGTGTGCTTGTAAGAGACAGCAACTGTCTGCTTGCTTCAATTTGCTAGATGTTAGGGAACTGCAACACCACCAATCTGGCAGCCACACAGGGAGACAAAGGGATGAGCAACTTTAGAAGAAATTAAGAGATGTTTGTGTATATTTTATATTGATTATGGAAGTGGAAATTCATTAAATTGCAATCAAATGATGGGGTGTAAAAGGCATATACTAGGGTTGCATGATATATCAAATTAAAATATCACAACATCATTGCTCAGTGTAATTGTCAAATCGCGAAGGCTGCAATATAATTAAATAAATATATGCACTTGCTGGTTTTAAAGTGAAGTCCGCCACTTACACACCTCTGATATTGTGAGTTCCATAAATGAACACAGTGCTGAGCTTCACTCTGAAACCACAGCGCATATTTTTATTTAGCAGAAACCCATCAAAAAAGCTTAAAATTAAGATGTCAATAAATCAATAAATTAAATATTCAAATTAAATATACTAGTTTTTTTATAGTACAACAGTGTTGACAATATATTTCTTATTTTATAATTTTTAATTTTAATAATCATCAATAAAATCATAATGATTTCTTTCATAATGAAAATTCACATTTTGAAAAAAAAAATTGGTGTAGGATTAAACAATTACAATTAAACAATTTTCACTCAGAAATTGCTTGTACATTTCACAAATAATTACAAAAAAATACATTGAATTAAACAAAATTTCTGAAGTAGAAACAATGAAATAGTATATTGTAAAAATACTCCACTTTTAACAGTGAAGCTTTTCCTAAATCGTTCAGCCCTAAAAGGATTTTTGTGTTAAAACGTTCAGAGAAATAGTTAAGCTTTATATATATATATATATATATATATGAAGAGTTCAGATGCAAAAGCCTCTAAATGCCATTTGAAATTTTCTTCTAAAATAAAATTTTTATCAAGCTTGTATTTTTAAATTCAGTAATTTCACTTAAATGACAATTAATAGGTAATCTTCATTGACATTTAAGTGAAATTACTGAACTTAAATATACAAGCTTGATAAAAAATAAAATTTTAAAAGAAAATTTCAAATGGCATTTAGAGGCTTTTGCATCTGAACTCTTCATATATATATATATATATATATATATATATATATATATATATATATATATATATATTTTTTTTTTTTTTTCAATGCAGATGCACTTCCCAACAAAATCACCCCACTTATGATTTCACTTCACAAGTCATCATTCAAATGAAGTCATCATTTTAAAGAGCTAATTAGGGAGTGAGATATATTTGTCTTTACCCAGATTTGCATAATTACTTTAGTGAACCAGATGTTAAATGCAAATAAACAACACTATGCTCATTCCACAGGTATATGGTTGCAGTTCAAGCTTTAGCGAATTCCTAGGATATTTTACAGACCATATTCTAGAGATCCTCCTACACTTCAGTCAGCCTGTCGCTCTCTTTCTTGCCTGA